TGATCATTGTAAGTACCCCTGTCAAGGGTAAATGGCTTGTCTTAAAGCTCTAAATTATACATCTGCAGAACAGCTTGTTCTATAGAAAAAAACAGACCTACTGGCTAGATCACCAAGAGAAAATACAAGAAAGGAAAGCTAAAACAAATACAAATGCAGCCATCCCAACTAAGCATTGTTGACCTGCAATATAATAATGTTTGCTTTTGGGTTTAATATCTCTTTAATAATATCTGCCTTTTTATTATTAGAAAACATTTAATATTTGATAAGAGAAAGCTATTATTGCAAGTATTAGACTGTGTGAGCATTATTACAGTGGTTAGTTTCTGTAGTTGAAGTGGAAGTCAAGGACATGTTGTTCCATTAATAAAATATCAATGTACTACAAAGCAAAGTTGTATTGTTATAGCCATAATAAAGTGGCAATAATCCTACTCTTTTCACCACCTTTGCTCTTCTGCTGTCCAGCAAGAAGTTTGGGCATGTGAAATTTGATGACTATGGGTTGCATATGAAATCCTCCAGTAACGGTTTCTCCTTTCTCTAGAGCTGGCTTAAAGCTAAAGGGTGAGCTGACGTTTTCACACAAGGTTCAATTTCAATCTATAATAACCCCCCCCCCTATTTTTTCCTACTTACTAACTTACTGAAAAGCTGAGAAAACCTGAGGTTTACTTGATGTCACCTTTTCTAACCTGCAATTATACCGACAGTATATCCAGTAGTAGGGAGAAGGAATGTGAGGTGATTTATGTCATGTTCCATAAATTCAAGGTGTGCCTCACAGAACTACATGCCCCATTATCTTTTGAGGCTTTTACCATAGAGATGGCCATAAACAAAGTGGGGGATCTACAGACCAAAGCCACCCCCTCTAGGCAGTGCTGTTGTAATAATATCAATGCTGCCTAGTTGGGACTACAAGGGGTGGTAACATAAATGTTCACCTTTTTTATGGGGAAAGAGCAACAATGACCAGTTATCCCAAGCAGAAATGGAATGTAAGTAGCACTATTTGAGAAACATTTCAGGTTGGATTTATGGTGAAAGGGGGCACTATTGTTGAATTCAAAGTATGTTTCACGTAAGCCATCAGATATCTATAGCACATATGGATTTATTATTTTGTGTGAAGTTTAGATTTAAAGTGGAACTAGTCAGAAAATTAAGTCCTGCTAAATCACTTCAGGCTGTTCCCTTTTGCAATTATAGCTAGGTAAAACATTACAAATTAGTGCCTATACTGTTTAAAATCCAGTAATACACTATCTCACCCTGCTCTGCACATGCTCAGTTGCTGTCTATGTTGGCACTGTGCCAGTAGAGGCCCATCTGCTGACAGTCTAAAGCTTTACTGTTGCTTAGGGGCTCTGGACTTCGGCAAAATGGGAGCTTCACTACATTTACTAAACTCTTCAATGCCTTGATCTACTAGAGTCCATGAGGGGGCTGCTAATCACCACACTTGAGGTGATGTTGGAAAGTGTTAATTTCCCCACAAAAGGCAAATTGAAAGCTTGGGTCCAGGAGGTAACACAAATGGAAAAAATATACCCAATGTGATCTTTATTTTCAACAATCAAAACGGTTAACGACCAACAGCATGAGCTACCCCAGTCTTGATTGTGGTGTTTTGGCCCCCATCTAAAGGACTTTCTGCTATGTCATTATAATCCTTTGGTCAATATATATCCTCTGCAGTCTGCCCTGCACAGCATTGGTGCTATTTCCCTGGGGATCCCTGGGATACGCTCTCCAGAAGCCCACCTTGGTACAACCTGTGGAGATTATCCTTCTTTTGTGAATGCTTCCTGAAGATGCCATGACGGGGAAACATGTGGAGGATCACATTTTTATGAAACTTTGCAGAATGGTCCATGTATACTTTTCTTTTTTATATGGTTTAATTTTTTTGTAATATTAAAATGCTAACGTTTTACCTGGTAAATTTGGTTTTGATACAATTAGAGCCGTTAAAATCCCATTCCTACTTTCAACTCCATTTAGATCTACGAGTAATGAAACTGTCCACATCTCCACTACCTCTGGGTTTAATCGTGTGACATAGAAAGGTGTGATACCCCCCCCCCCACCCCGCCATTCCACAATGCAGTTCTCTGTGCCTGAAAAATGAATCTCCATTCCTGAAAATGAAACATTTACAAGGCCTTTTGGAACAGCACAGTGAGCAACAGAGCTACTAGCAAATAAAGGAATCAGAGGGTTCCTTGCATACAATATAAGCACTTCTTATCTTTCCCTTATCTTCCTCTCATCCTGTCATTCAAATTGCCTGTCAGGGTGATATGAAATATCTGTTACTTCCAGGTATGAAAGCTAATGTTTGCACATCTTTCTGTGATACAACCTTGAATGCCTAAGCAGCCAATCATCAAGCTTCACTTCTATCACATGAGTACAGGATTAGTCTCTGTCCTAAGTTACATATTTACGTAGTTACATAGTAAGCAACCACCACAGTGAGTTTGAGATAGCACAGAAGATTTATACAAGCAGGTTGGGGGGCATCAAATGAGTGCACCTTTTTGTATGCCTGGGCAAAGCACAGAATTACTTTAATTAAGTGAAAATGGGAAAATTACACCTCCTAGGGTATTCAGGTGTCCATGAAGCCATCCACTAGCAAATAGGACATCTGACAAGTGTCCTAAAAGTATCTGTGCCCTTTTCACCTTGCTGTAGCAGTTCATTCCAGGAGCATGATCCTTTCCCCTTCTACATTCCAGCAGTTTATTTGTTACTAGCACAAAAGCCAGAGTGCATTATGCAATCCTACTTCTGGCTTTTAATTGGCCATTTCAGCCAGTCAAAAGCTGGAGGTTTGATTTGCCAAGCTAGAAATTATACAGTGACTGATGGACTTTGCATATGGAATTGGCATATACAATTTGCTGTTAAGCTGCATTAAAGAATATTGTACCCTGTCTTGTTGACAATGAAGGACTTCATTTGTGTTCATGGGAGCTGCAGGCATGCCCCATGGACACCTGCTCCTGCCTCATTTTCACACACTGAGCTAAGATATCTAATACAAACTAGAAGAACTATTTAACATTTTATACTTTGTTTCAATCTTGCCTAATAGACTGAAACTTTCCAAATACAAAGCAGGTCATTTGGGAAGCATGACCTGTTTTTCAATAACAAACTTTAGGTGTTATTAACCGCTTCCCCGCTGCCCCATAGGATATATACTGTTACAGGGCAGCAGGGGTGCGCAAAAATCACGTGTATATACAGTCATGGCCGAAATTGTTGGCACCCTTGATATTTCTCCAGGAAATCATGTATTTCTCACGAAACGTATTGCATTAACACATGTTTTGCTATACACATGTTTATTCCCTTTGTGTGTATTGGGACAAAACAAAAAAAGGGAGGAAAGAAAGCAAATTCGACATAATGTCACACAAACCTCCAAAAATGGGCTGGACAAAAGTATTGGCACCCTTTCACAACTGCGGATAAATAAGAATGTTACAAGCATGTGATGCTCCTGTAAACTCACCTGGGGCAAGTAACAGGTGTGGGCAATATAGAAATCACACCTGAAAGCAGATAAAAAGGAGAGACGTTCACTTAACCTTTGCATTGTGTGTCTGTCTGTGCCACACTAAGCATGGACAACAGAAAGAGGAGACGAGAACTGTCTGAGGACCTGAGAACCAAAATTGTGGCAAAATATCAACAATCTCAAGGTTACAAGTCCATCTCCAGAGAACTAGATTTGCCTTTGTCCACAGTGCGCAACATTATCAAGAAGTTTGCAACCCATGGCACTGTAGCTAATCTCCCTGGTCGTGGACGGATGAGGAAAATTGATGAAAGATTGCAACGCAGAATAGTCCGGATGGTGGATAAGCAGCCCCCAAACATGTTCCAAAGACATTCAAGCTGTCCTGCAGGCTCAGGGAGCATCAGTGTCAGCGCGAACTATCCGTCGACATTTAAATGAAATGAAACGCTATGGCAGGAGACCCAGGAGGACCCCACTGCTGACACAGAGACATAAAAAAGCAAGACTACAGTTTGCCAAAATGTACTTGAGTAAGCCAAAAGCCTTCTGGGAAAACGTCTTGTGGACAGATGAGACCAAGATAGAGCTTTTCGGTAAAGCACATCATTCTACTGTTTACCGAAAACGGAATGAGGCCTACAAAGAACAAAACACAGTACCTACGGTAAAATATGGTGGAGGTTCAATGATGTTTTGGGGTTGTTTTGCTGCCTCTGGCACTGGGTGCCTTGACTGTGTGCAAGGCATCATGAAATCTGAGGATTACCAAAGGATTTTGGGTCGCACTGTAGGGCCCAGTGTCAGAAAGCTGGGTTTGCGTCCAAGATCCTGGGTCTTCCAGCAGGACAATGACCCCAAACATACGTCAAAAAGCACTCAGAAATGGATGGCAAAGAAGCGCTGGAGAGTTCTGAAGTGGCCAGCAATGAGCCCAGATCTAAATCCCATTGAACACCTGTGGAGAGATCTTAAAATTGCTGTTGGGAAAAGGTGTCCTTCCAATAAGAGAGACCTGGAGCTGTTTGCAAAGGAAGAGTGGTCCAAATTCCGGGTGAGAGGTGTCAGAAGCTTATTGATGGTTATAGGAAGCGACTGATTTCAGTTATGTTTTCCAAAGGGTGTGCAACCAAATATTAAGTTAAGGGTGCCAATACTTTTGTCCAGCCCATTTTTGGGGTTTTGTGTGACATTATGTCATATTTGCTTTTCTGCCTCTGTTTTATATTTGTTCCAATACATACAAAGGGAATAAACATGTGTATAGCAAAACATGTGTTAATGCAATACCTTTTTTGTGTGAAATACTTGATTTTCAGGAAAAATATCAAGGGTGCCAACAATTTCGGCCATGACTGTATATATATATATATATATAAGATTTTGCATTTCCGGGTAGGGGGCGCCCTATACGTGCCGACATTCACGGCCGCAGCTGTCAATCACCGGGTCCCAACTGGTGATTATCCACCGGCACCTGGTGATTACCAAGGATCTCCGATGGGGAGGAGGGCTGCTTTGTTTACTAACAGTCCTCCTCCCTGTTGGCTTGGGCACACTGCTCTGGATGGCTGTGCACAGCCACCCAGAGCAGTGTGCTTACAGTGAAGCACCAACACACCGCCCCCAGTAAAACACTCCCTACACACAGTTAACCCTTTGATCATCGCAGATGTTAACCCCTTCCTGCCCAGTTCCATTAGTGCAGTGTCAGTGGTTTTTAGCACTGATCACTGTATTGGTGTCACTGGGGTTGTTAGTGACACCAAGTCATTTCCCTCCAGTGTCAGAATGCAGTCCCGCTATAAGTCGCTGATCGCCGCTATTATTAGTATAAAAATTAAAAATTCCAGTATCTATACTATCTATACTTTCATGTAGACCAATTAATTTACACGCATTGGTATTTTTTTTAGCAAAAACGTAGCAGAATACATTTTGGCGTAAATTTATGATGAAATTTGATTTTTTTAAATTTTTTTACTGGACATGTTTAATAGGAAAAAAGTAAAAAATATAGTTTTTTCTCAAAATTGTCTGCCTTTTTCTTTACAGCACAAAAAATAAAAAAGAGCACAGGGGATCAAATACCACCAAAAGAAAGCTCAATCTGTGGGGAAAAAAATTACAAACATTTTGGGTGCAGTGTTGCATGACCGCGCAATTGTCAGCTAAAAACTAACGCAGCACCGTAACGCAAAAAATGGCCTGGTCAGGAAAGGGGGTAAATCCTCTGGAGGGCAAGTGGTTAAAAAAGTTTACATTTTTATGTGTTGGGTTCCATTCTTAAACAAAACATTTAATGAGTGCCATGACTTCCATTTTTAACTACAGAAAAAAAACTAAGTCGTTTCATAGACAGACAGAATGAACCATGTTCCACAACAGGCAAGATGATACTTCAACTAATAATTAAAATTACATGAATGTGGTAAATAAAGAGCACAACATAAGCAGGAAAAAATAACAATTCTAAAATAATTTATATCAATACATTTTCCTAAAAACCTTGAATAACCACAGGACTTAGAAGAACACTCCAAAATAATATTTCAGAATAAAGGTATGGCAGGGTTAATTTACTAAACACAAATAGACTGTTCACATTGCAAGGGAAATTCCATTTTGAAAGGGAATATTCCCAAAATGAGGTGAAGCTTTGTTGACTTCCATCATCCAATCATGCAAAAATGCATTTTTTTATTTGTCTTGCATATGATTGGGTATTATTTGCAAATTTTGAATTCTAAAATAATAGGTCTGATTTACGAAATAAAATGCATGTACATTGTCACTGTGATGCACTTACAAACCTGGTCAAATGAGATATGTAGGTGATGCACAGTGACACACAAATCTAAAATAGCATACCTATGGCTAATTCACTAGCAAATATGGTTTGATAAGCAGAACTAATTCAAAGGTATGCTAAGCTATGTGGTGACAAACCTAAAATTAAAAAAGAAAAAATCTGTCCTATATATGTTACCTACTTTGGTTTCACAATTAATGCATTAGCAACACCCTCTCTTTTAATGCCAAATTTTTACACTTCGAAGAGAACCACATAGGGTTTTTTTTTAGTTTCTTTGTTTGGCACGTGTCTTTCAACCTTATTGGGCAATCAAGGCTTTTGCACTACTTTAATTTCAAGGCATAGTCCTAACACCTGCATTACCTAGCTCACTTTATCTGCTTAAAATGCAGAAAATTAGCATGGATGTTTACTTCACACTGCCATCCAGGATTTCAACCTATGCATTGAGTAGGAGTGTACACATTGGCATATCCTCTTAGAAATATCATTTGCTGTGAGTGTGATATCCACACACTCATGTGAACCCACAATATTTAGTTGTTTGAGCTTTAGTAAATCCAGTTTATTACTGCATGTCCGAATTCTGGTATTTTACTTCAATTTTAATGCAATACAGTGTATCTAAAAGATAACAGCTTAAGTGAATTAAAAACATGATTCTGTGATGGTAAAAACTTGCAAACAATGAACAGCAAAAATACTGCCTTTGCAATAATGGATGTGCTTTTTTGAATTGACCCTTATATCACCGTATATGAAAGGCTCACTTCATAAATCCTGTAAGCAGTACTGGCAGTGTCTAAAAATTAATTTCAAGGTCTGGGACAATTGGTAAAGCAATTACACAAGCAATTTGATGGCATTTGGGGAAAATTTAGTTTTTGTTAAGTTTTAGTTTAAAAAAATCAAAACTGATTTAATATTAAAATAGAAAGGCAGTCTTTATCAAAATTAAATTACAAAATGTGTGTGATCGATAACTGATTTTTTCCTTTAGAATTATTGTTTCTTTACCCCTTTCCATCTACAATCTGTAGATTAATTCTCCCCTGCATGCTCCTTCATGCAGAATGAATGTTAATCTACAATCCCCTATACAGCTGGCAATGTCAAAGACAATGTCACTGACAACTTTGGGTCTCCACTAAAAAGTAGGAATTAAATAGTGTTGCTAGTTGGTGATTATTTTTTTTTTTTTTATAGTCAAGTTACTGTCACTGCTAATTTTGGTCTGAACACCTAGGTATCAAAGACTTATAACAATGAAAGGTTTAACATGTTCTTCTTGGCTGTTACCCATTTGGTTGAAAAAAAAAAACATCCTCTTAATATCATTAAATTATAAGATACCCATGTTGTGAGCAGAGCAATGGGATTTTGACCAGATTTGTATGTATGGACTATCATAAGTATGGGCTAAATAAAGAGTGCACTTTTTTTTTTTTTTAGCAGATCACTTTTCCACATTTGTTACATGTTTTAGTGTGGGAAAAAACTTGTGTCTGCTGCATTTGGGTTGCCATTAACAAAGAATGGCACAAAAAGTGAGACACATTGCTGCTAATTTCATAAAAGAACAAAGAAAATTGCACACATTTGCTCATGTTCACAAAAAGCTATAGTGTGAATGCAGCCTAAGGCTGCAAACATGACTTCCTCTCTTCATCTCCATTATGGGAGGGAGGTGAAGGAATTAGTAGTTTACTGAGATAGCTTGAAAGGAAGATTACAATGTGTCATTACAGGGACACTGCATTTCTGGCAAAATCAGAAGATGTTTTCTCTACTTGCTATATGCCACACATCTAAGGACTGGTAGTCATAGAATTTTGTTCTTAAGTTAGATATCCCTTTAGTAAAACATATAACTCAATTTGAATGTTTGATGCAGACTTTGTTTCCTTAGGCTAGCGAACCTTGTAAATTCTATGTATGTTAAAAAAAATACAAACTGTCACCCTGAGTAGCAAATGAGAAAAAACTTTTGGAAGCATGTTAAAAACCAATAATAGGAGAAAAAAATTGCTTTCTTTTTCCAATAAAATGTTCAGAATTTATTTGAAAACCATTTGGTGGTCTTTCTTTTTAACTTTCAGTACTGCGCATTACGCATGTGACAGGTACATAATTATTAAAAAATATAAATAAATGGAAAACAAATGAAAACAATGTTAACCCACATTTTATATGACAAACATCAGATGCTGGGCATATTGGATAAAGCATTATATTATTTAAAAGAACACAATATTCATCAAATTGCAATAATTAAATTCTTATTTTCATATAATTGTTTTCATTTTAAACATTGTGTATCCTACAGTGTGGTTTGAGTTTATATTTAGCATTTTTTAAAAATAGGGCAATAAGAAAGAACAGCAATTTTAAACATTCTTAGATACATCTTTTGAATAGTGCTCATTATTCTTGAATATTACCCAGTGCTCCAGATATTCAAGAAACAATAGTAAAAATGTAAAACATTAAAAAAAAAGAGAAAAAAAAAGGTAAAATTGCACATGCATTTGTGTAACCTCAAAGGGGAGTTTTGCAGTTAACATATCCAAAATGTCATCTTCAAGAGAACTTGCATTATTTCCTACAAATGAATAAGATTATAAAATTCCTTAACTCTTTCTTACATTATTAAGAAGAAAACTCTTTTCTTTTTCTGGAGGCAACAGAGATGGAATTTGACTAATGTATATACACATAGGTCACAACTAAAAGCACAATCTTTCTAAAAGTTCTTCTCTTAAACTTAAAACAACAATAAAAGATATTTTTTAAACTCACAGCTATTTACATTTTTACAAACTTTTTTCTTCTTTAAATACAGTTCATGATGGCATATACCTTCATTGCCAGAACTATACATTTAATTCTGCATAGTCAGTCCTCGGTTTTAAATAGAATTTCCATTGTGAATTACAGCTTTTTAAAAAGCTCAAGATACTAATGTATTTGACCAAGGGGCCCTTGTTCTGTATGGCACATAGAGAACTCAGAAAACAAAAACAAAGCAGTAAAGACATTTCGTGTTCCAGAGCAGCTTTCCTCATTATTTATAATAGAGAAAACATCCATTTTCTTCAAGGAGACTGTTCAAAATATTAAGTTTATCAAAATTTTGTCTAGCAGGGGTAAATTCATAAGCAATATCATAACAGCAATTTACACAATTCACATCTTGGGCTGATCGGTATGAATATTAGACAATTCCTCTAGACAGGAATGAGTAAGAAAATAATTCCTTCTTTTCTACTTCTTCACAAGTTTTCTGTTTGTTTTTGTTTTCTCCAAGAGGATGGAAAACATGGCAAAGCTATACTCGGGTGGTAGAATGGCCATGGGGTAAATTAGTACTATTTTGGCCTCCACTGAAAGTATTAAAGGTATGCAGTGGTTGCATACCCGTTAATGTGTTCGGAATCATTGTTATTGTATTTGGAGTCATTAGAGGGATATCATCAGGGGACCTCCTCAGTGTGAGGGTGTAGTCAGGTGGACAGGTCAGTCGGAGAGTGTCGTGTGCCTGAAGAGCTTCACATTCATGATCATGCTCCAACTGCTTCATTTGCAAGGACATTATTTCTTCATTTTGAATATGCGCTATATCATTTGTTGTGTTCCTCTGAGGACTAGGTCGTCTGTGTGTTTCATGGCGTCTCTTATCTTTTTTGTAGTACAAAGCAGCAAAGGCTAAAATATTAAGAAACAAAAGGGAAGCTCCTACAGCAATGGTGACACTTAGTTCTGTAGAGTAATCTCTTTTATCTTCTGCAATGATAGTGGTTTCACCCAAAACATTCTTTTGTGTTTCTTTTGGATTATTTGCTGGTGTCATTGCTGGACGCTTCGTAGTAGCCCTTGACTTTACAGCAGGAGAGCGTCGTGT